CGCGTGTTTCATGTCTTCTTTCTTTTAAATTTATTGTTGGATGTGGACTATTTTACCAGTTTGACTAAAATTATAGAGTTTCTTATGTTTGAAATTTTAAAATATGCAAATTCAAGTAAAATTAGTAAAATTATATTTATAACTATTTTAATTACCTTAGAAAATTTTGAAGGCGTAGAGACGAGAGACAGAGAGCGGCAGAGGAAGAGGGGGTCTGAGATGCGAGAGAGAGAGAGAGATCCGAAATGAGAGATGAGAGGAGTTTTGTTAGATTGATCTGTGATAAGAGAGAGAGAGAAGAGTATATATTATATAGTGGGTTGGTGAGTGAGAGAGGAGAGAGAGGCGGAGCAGAATCGGGACCGGGGCCGGGGCGGAACAACTTATCACCGTCCCCGGACCGAAAATGATCGGGGATTTTTTTTTTAATACCGTCCCCGGCCCGTCGGGGGTATTTTTCGGGGAATCCCCGTGTTAATCGGGGTCGGGGGGTCGGGTCCCCGTCGGGCCGGGTTTAAATTGCCATCTCTAACTGCACGCGTGTTTCATGTCTTCTTTCTTTTAATTTTATTGTTGGATGTGGACTATTTTACCAGTTTGACTAAAATTATAGAGTTTCTTATGTTTGAAATTTTAAATTATGCAAATTCAAGTAAAATTAGTAAAATTATATTTATAACTATTTTAATTACCTTAGAAAATTTTGAATTTCATGCATAGGAGTTACAGGTAAACAGGACTGACTCTTACATCTCCGGTCCAAAACAAACTCTTCATATGGAGCTTTCACTCACTTAAAAAAAAATAATAATCATAATTATTATAAAATTCAGATAAAAAATAAGAATACCATGTAAAAACAATTAACCGTTAATTTTAAATAATTTATCTCATCAATCATTTAGTAGTTTTAGGTCTGTACTAAACTTTGCCAAGACCTTTGAAATTCATGTTTTTTTTTTTGTTTTTTTAATTTTTTTTTTGTTTCTTTTTTTTTTTTGGTTGTGAAATACTATAATAGGAAAAAAAATTAATAATAATAATAATAAAATTAAAAATAAAAATAATAAAAATTGAAACCTTATTTCTTAGTGGATTTTTTTTTTAGAATCTATGATATTAAGATTTTATAATATAAAGGACATCCAACATTTTCATAATGTCTAAGATCTCTCAAATTGATCCAGAGAAAATCTCTCCAGAAAAATTCAGAATTTATCTAGACTTTCAAGAGAAATTCTCTCCAAACCAAAGAAATTTGCCTCATTACATACAGAGAATTATTCTGGGTTCAAACCATAGAAAATTGAAATTTCTTTTACTTTTTTCACAAATTTCTCTGTTTTTTCAATCACAATGTGCAATACATAAATCAATCATGCAAATAAGCAACAACAACAACTAATACACACACACACACACACACACACACACACACACATATTAATATATATATATAGAGAGAGAGAGGGGGGCTGACTTACTGAAATGAGAATTTTTCTAGATTTCTTGAGAATTTCTCTGGTTTTCGGAAGAATTTCTTTGGGTTCACAGCCAAAGAAAATTCACACACAAGGATCACAATAAGAGAAAATGCAGAGAAATTTGACATCCTTCCCATAAAAAAATGTAGTACAAGTTTGACATCTTTATATCCTTATTTTCCTCATATTCAATATAGTAACAACAAGAGAGATTTTCCATTGGCAGCAATGGCTTCAATTACATATCCACCATCCATCAATGTGGACTACTGGGAGAGTGAGGAGTTGAGTGGCACCTCAAACAACAATCCACAAAACTCTTCGGATACGCATATAGATTGTAACAGTGTGGACACACTATCCAAAAATTAGTGTCTCTGCCACCAAAAATTAGCGAGAAGTTAAAAAGGACTTTTTAGGGCCATTGTTGAAGATTGTGAGAAAATATTTTAGACAAAAGAGGAGTGTTTGGAACATGGATTGCTTGGTTGACTTGTTTTGCGCAGGGTTTGAGAAACCTAACGATTCTCATTGCGGATTTCAAGGAGTCCCCATCTTTTGGAGACACCACCTTGGTTTTTCTTGATTCGTAGGTTAGAGTTTGCTGTTCTTCTTCTTCATCTGTCATTGTTGAAGCTCAGTAGTGACACATAGTATAGAGAGAGAGAGAGAAATGTAAAAGGCACGATCGATCTGCATCATCATGTTCTACAAAAATCTCCATTACGACCTAAAATAACATTGAGGGACCTACGCATCAAAAAATATTATTGTAGACCTTTCCTCCTACCAAAAGTTGGGCTTGAATCGTAGACCAATTTTCCCTATTTCTTAATCAATTTTGCCCAAAGTTGTGACTTTGCCAGCATTGGCCAACCGCATTATTAAAAAATAAAAAATTCTCTAATCACGGTAATTCTGTTTATTGTTTCGAAAAAATTTGTTATTTTGTTCTTCAAATTATCACTAATAAATCAATTTAATATTTGTTCTTTTAATAATATTAATTTTATACTTAAATTATTTATTTTTATATTAATTTTATCATCACCATTAATTGTTGTGTATAATTAAAGAAGTGCGGCACCCAAACTTTATTTGAAATTTCATTTTGCTCCTGGAACTATTTGCTAAATAATAAATCTAGGGAGCCTCCCTAATTCAACCTAAAAATTTACCGACGGCCCACATTGCAGTCCATCTTAATACGGAGGAAAAAATATATATACAATAATCTAGCCTTAACATAATTCAATTAATTAAGTTATCAGTCTATATTACTCACATAAAGAGAAAACAAATTCATATGAATCTAAATATTAATAAAAACCATGTTCAGAGCATAAAAAAAAAAAAGAAAAAAAGATAACTCACATGAATAAGTGATTACCAATTAATTGAGTCTCACATAAACAATTTACAAAAGGAATAAATGCATCTTTAAATATCAACATTTTTTTTTCCTTTTCTTTTGATTAAAAATCGATGAACATGTATGAAGCTTTCTGATTCAATTTGTTTGTTTGAGTTTTCAAAAAGAAAAAATAAAAATAAAAAATTTCAGAAATTAGTTTCGTTAAAAAAAAAAAAAAAATCATTCTTTTTACATGATTTTCCCTTTTTTGATAAATAATAATTTAAAATTTTAAAAATTGTGTTTTTTAGCATTTATTTTTGTCAAATTAATTTCTAAATTTTGAAGGAAAAAAATTAGAACATATTCTAATATAATTATATATATTTGGAACCCATATTTATTTTATTTTATTTTTTAGTCTTGTGTATTATGATGCTATAATCCTAAGACAAATTCTGAGAGAAAAAAAAAAAGAAAAAAGAAAAAAAAATACAAATTTATTTTCACAACTTGTCCCTATATAGTGATAACAAATTGATAACTTAATTAATTTGAACGTTGTTTTTTTTCTTAAAAGCCTCCACTTTAAGGTGAGTTGCCATGTGAGCTGTTGGTAAATTTTTGTGTAAATTGAGAAGGTTGCCGAGTCTTATTATTTGTCAAAATATCAATTAGATTTCTGAATAAAATAAAATTTAAAGATCTAATTGATATTTTAGAAATAATTCGAGAAGTAAAATAAAATTTCAAATGAAATTTTGATGTCAAATTAATAAATTCCGTTTGATTATAAATAGCAATTAACGGCAAGGTTAAAATTGATCAAATATCAAATAGTATTGACCTAAAATTAATATAATAAGAATTGAACTGATTTTTCAGTACTAGTTTAAAAGGCAAAATAAAATTTCATCGATCACTTTGGGACATGAAATAATTCTAAGGGAGGAAGAAACTTCATTGACACCAAAAAAAAAAAATGTAAGATAAAATTAAAATTATATCAATCGGAGTAAAATCTCACCAAACCTATAAAGATGTGTTATTTACCTACAGGCCACAGAGGGGCTATTCTTGCTAGGGATAAGGTGATATTGAACTTAAATTAGTTTCGTTAAAAAAAAAAAAAAATCATTCTTTTTACATGATTTTCCCTTTTTTGATAAATAATAATTTAAAATTTTAAAAATTGTGTTTTTTAGCATTTATTTTTGTCAAATTAATTTCTAAATTTTGAAGGAAAAAAATTAGAACATATTCTAATATAATTATATATATATTTGAAACCCATATTTATTTTATTTTATTTTTTAGTCTTGTGTATTATGATGCTACAATCCTAAGACAAATTCTGAGAGAAAAAAAAGAAAAAAAAAAAGAAAAAGGAAAAAAAAAATACATATTTATTTTCACAACTTGTCCCTATATAGTGCTAACAAATTGATAACCTAATTAATTTGAACGTTGTTTTTTTTATTAAAAGCCTCCACTTTAAGGTGAGTTGCCATGTGAGCTGTTGGTAAAAGGTTGCCGAGTCTTATTATTTGTCAAAATATCAATTAGATTTCTAAATAAAATAAAATTTAGAGATCTAATTGATATTTTAGAAATAATTCGAGAAGTGAAATAAAATTTCAAATGAAATTTTGATGTCAAATTAATAAATTCCGTTTGATTGTAAATAGCAATTAACGGCAAGGTTAAAATTGATCAAATATCAAATAGTATTGACCTAAAATTAATATAATAAGAATTGAACTGATTTTTCAGTACTAGTTTAAAAGGCAAAATAAAATTTCATCGATCACTTTGGGACATGAAATAATTCTAAGGGAGGAAGAAACTTCATTGACACCAAAAAAAAAAAATGTAAGATAAAATTAAAATTATATCAATCGGAGTAAAATCTCACCAAACCTATAAAGATGTGTTATTTACCTACAGGCCACAGAGGGGCTATTCTTGCTAGGGATAAGGTGATATTGAACTTAATCATAATTGTCACACATAATATGGCATGTTCTAATCTTTTCATTTCAAATTAAAACATGCATCAACATAATTTAAAATTAAAACAAAAATGAAAAAAAGACTTAAAAGACAATCAATCAGGACAAAATTCATTATCCTCAAATTTCTCAAGGAAGTAGACTAGCATCTTGTAGGGCTGGCAACGATCCATTCCTCACTGTCGAATTTTATTTCCCAAAACAGAAACTAAACACAATAACAAGACTAATTAATAGGTCGAATATGAGTTTGTCTGATTGTCTAAATTTTGACTTGTCGGTCGTTTGAATCGATCATTCCGCAAGAAAATGACAGTCGTAGTGGTCGACAAGAATGATAATCGCGACAGATAAATATTACACCGGTGATCCGACAAGTACAAATTCACACTTTCCAACAAATTTAAATTTGAGCCACCAATCATTTTTACGCAATAATCATATAGAATACTCCTAACAATTAATTGTTTCCATCAACGAAAACGATAATTGAATTTTTTTCCATTCAGAATCAAACAAAATTATAGTTTTGTCTTCTCCTTCATCAACAAAGCAGCAGCACTAAGAAACTCATCCATGGCTTTCACAGAAGACCCTTTGAAACCCTCCTCATCTCTAATGGCCTCCTTAATCATCTCCTTCACTTCACCAGCTTTCCTTCTCATTTCCTTTCCTTTAGCATTCTCACCCATCACCAATTCAATCTTCTCCTTTATGTCTTCATGCCTAACCTCAAAATTAGTCCCTCTGGCCACTTCCACGCACACCCCAACCTCTTCCACCAAAAACTTGGCATTGAAAAACTGCTCCGCCGCCATCGGCCACCCCATCAGCGGCACGCCGCCACTGAGCGCTTCCAGGACCGAGTTCCACCCGCAGTGTGTTAAAAACGCGCCCACCGACTCGTGCGATAATACCTCCACCTGGGGTGCCCATTGTACCACAATTAGCCCTCTTTTCTGATCCACGACAACCCTCTCTATAAACCCCTCTGGCAACCACTCCTTTGGTCGAAACTCCGCCGTTATGTCGAACCCCAGTGGCGGCCTAACCACCCATATGAAATTGGTGTTCCTAACTTGCTCTAATGCTTTAGCCAACTGAATCATTTGCGAAGCAGACATGGTATTCATTGACCCAAATGATACGTAGAGTACTGAATTGGGTGGTTTTGTATCAAGCCACTCTATACATTCCTCTGGTTTGATTCCATGTTTTCTACCTACTCGGGATCGATCTTCTCCTAGCAGAAGAATCGGACCGATTGGCCAAATCGGCCGATTAAATTTGCGCCTGAAATAGGACAATCCGATTTTATCGAGCTCTTCAATTGAGTTGAACAGAACACCATCGGAGTAGGACCATGCGGGTAGGTTTTTGTGTTGAAAAACCGACCACCGGTCCTTTCCGTCGGCCGCCACGAAGCTTGCCGCCAGCTGGGTCATGTGGAACTTGCCAGCTTCTGGGAAGTCCGGCAGAGAGAACTCCGCGGAGTCGGTGCTCCGGTGAGGCAAATTCAGCCACACAGAATGGTAACAAGCCAATCCGAAGCCACCTGCGCCGCTGAAAAAGGCATGGAACAAACCCAAATCGTGTGTAACCTCCACGGTCCAGCCGAAGAATATGTCGGCGACGACGCAGAGAAGGGGAGAGCCATCGTGGATGAGATCTGAGAGGAGGGATGTGAAGGCGGGTTTGAGAGAAGTGGAGGCTTCGAGGAGTTGGATTACGAGGGTGTAAGGGAGGACGTCGGTGTTCTCGGAGCCGGGAGGGAGGCCATGGTCGGAGCTGTTGAAGGGGATTTCAAGGAGGCGGATGGAGGAGGTGGGTGGGATTGATTTTCGGAGTTTGATGATGTTGAGTGTGGTGTTCACAAATATTACATTGTAGCCTCTTTGCTCTATTTGCAGAGCTAAGGCTAAGAAGGGTATTAGGTGGCCTTGTGCCATGAACGGGAACATCACTATGTTTTCTTTGCTCCCTGCCATTTTTTTCTTTTTTCTTTCTCGAGAAAGTGACGGAGAAAGGGAAGAAAGAGGGTTACAGTAAACAGGGCAGTATATGTGATGGACATAAAAGCCCTGCTACAGTTGCTTTTCATTTTGTCCACCGGTTACTCCAATTTTGGGCATTCCTTTCAAGTTTAAATTATATTAAACTCTTTTAAACTTTTTTTAAAATTATACTAGACCCCTGTTAACTATAACTTATTTATATATGTATATTATATTTTTTTAATCTATAAAATTCAACACTTAGCGTCTGTTTGGGAAGACAATTCAGGCTAAATTAGCCAAGTCACAACAAAAAAGGCTAATTAGCCAAGTGACGACAAAATGGAATTGAGCGGGTGTTGGGCGAGGGTGTCTCGTGCGAATTTACCGAATTGCCCCCTTCCCAAACCAGGCTTTTTAGCCCCAGGCTAAAATAGCCAAAAAAGCCAAAAAGCCAAAAAGCCAACCCACTTCCCAAACGGAGGCTAAACCTCTTTGATACGGAGAATTCTATCAACACACCTTTTATCATAAACACTCTTAGGATTTTTATTTTTATTTTAATTATGCTATTATTTTAATATATTTAGTTATGTCTTATATAATATTTGATTATAATTTTTTTAATTATAACACAAAAAATAAAAAATTATATAATTTTTTTATTTAATTATAAAATATATATAGTACACACAATAATTTTAAGTACAAATTCGTAAGTCCATATCTTACATCCAAACATAATTTTTCACGGTTTAGTGTATCATACCCATTTTCTATCAATTTATTATGACATGCCCATCTTCCATTTTCACGTAACAACTGTTGGGGAAATTTGAGAATTAATTACATGCACAATATCATTAAAGCACAATCACAGATGGACCAAAAACAAAGCACAAACAAAGCTATCAATAATTTGAATTTTTTGCACAGATTTTTAGCTTCAAACAAACAACTTTCAGCACAAATAATCAGAAAAACAAAAGCACCAGTAAACACTTATTTGGGCATAAAAAATCTGCACTTTTTCACTAAAAATCAACTTTACAAAGCTTTATCCTCCACCTTGTACAAAAAAAAAAAAAAAAAAAAAAAAAAAAAAAACCCATTCTCTTTTCTCACGTTTTTCTCCTCCTTGCTGACTGTTTTTCATCTCTGTTTTTCCTATTTAAAAACTAAAATGTTCTAGAAGCACATTTTACTTACAAATTCAAAAGTATAAGAATTTTATAAAAAGGCCCAATACACATATAACCAAACAAAAAGGCCCAATACACATGTAACTGAACACCCCAAAATAGGTTTACAATATCTAACATTCCCCCTTAAACCCAAATTTCAAAAGTCTTCATACCAAGCATCATCTTCAATCTATTGAATACATCATGCTTCAAAGGCTTTGTGAAAATGTCACCAATTTGATCATATGAGTTACAATGAACTTGCTCCACCTCCTTTTGTCTCACATGTTCCCGAATAAAATGATAACGAGTGTCAATGTGCTTGCTCTGTAATAACCCGACCCTTGTATATGTTTTTGGTACACTTTCAGTCCCTTCATGTGTGCATTTAAATGCCACTGTGAAATTTTATGTGAAATCAAATTTAATTAAGCGAATCTTATGCTTATAAATGCCTATCTGTTTACTAAGATGAATATCTGTTGCAATTCTAATATTTGAATCAGAAATTGGAAGTCTTAGAAGCTTAATATTCTGAACTTGATTTTATATTTAAGGTCAGCATGATTTTTAGGTCATAATATGATTTTCTGTGAAATTTTGATTTGGAATGATTAAACTGATTGATTTTCGTCATTATTCATATGTTACATATATATATATATATATATATCTATGTTCTTTACCTATTTGATCAAGAGCCATTGTTTTAAATATCTCCTGGGAAAGAGAAGGGAGAGTGTAGAGAAGAAGAGCTACGGAAAGGAGGTTCAACAAGTAAGGAAATTGGGAGGATTGAGAAGGATTTAAGAGAACTAAACTCAAGGCAATTTAATTCACTTTCTATAACCTTAATCTTGGAGTTGGGTAAGAATTCCCATTTCATCCATGTCAATTAGGGTTTGTAATGGAAAATTGTGTGTGATTCATGCTTGATCAAAGAGTTGTTCTCATTTGGTTGTTTTGGGACTTAATTTAAATGTGGTGTAGGGATTACACTTTAATCTTTGGGTTTCATGCTAATCCATATGCTTATACTTATGCATTGTGCATATCTTTTACAAACATAAGGAAATTGGTTTTGGTAGAGGTTTGGGACTCAATTGAGTTTCTACTCATGTCTACCTTGTGATATCATAATTGTAACTCATGTTATGTGGAGGTTGAGTTAACCTATTAGATTACTTACTCACTTTTAGTATATAAAATGTATTGGGTTGCTAAATTTTGGGTAGATTTTGGACTACCAAAGCAGGGCAGAATCGTCGCACGTGCGGGGGTCATGGCCGCACGTGCGGGAGGCCTTGCCGCACGTGCGGGGCTCACAGCCGCACGTGCGGAAAACAGGGGAAATTGGACTTTGCATATTGCTAAAAGGCACGTGCGGGGCTTCATTGCCGCACGTGCGGGAACCCTTGCCACACGTGCAGGGCTCACAGCCGCACGTGCGGCCCATGCTGCAAAATTTCGTCTGCTCTGTTTTAGGTGCTTGACTCTCTGGTATTTTTGGAATCTGTGTTTGATGTTCTTAATATGCCTGTAAATTCATTCGAAATAAAATGAAGTAGGAAATGAATTGAGAAAGAAGAAGAACTAAGTTGCAAGTTGTGTGTGTATGTAGGGCACCCACCGGGAGGGACTACCACTCCATTAACGCACTGTGAGTATTAGTACTGTGACCATACATTTACTCTCCGTTAATAACCCTTATTACTAACGCTCTGTTCCTTTGCAAGTAACCATGTTAACGTTTATGTTGATTGGAAATTGGCGTGAACTTAGGTGAACGTTGAAAGAGTTTGTTTACATCGGTATGACTTGGGAACTACTCTACATTCCGGTTATAGTTAATAGTTACCGTTAATGGGCTATAACTTGTAAATTACCTAGGACTCCGCATAAGAATTGCATACGAACTAGTAATACTATGGTTGACATAAAGACATTATGAATGTAAATCCCGCTCACCGGGATCATGATATCCTGAATGTCCTATTAGGGACTCCTACAGTCTGGTTGGTTTAACACATGTTTTATGACATAGATATCCGCCTAAAATGGATTATCGGAATGAATCATTAGATAGAACTACGGGTTACTTATATGTTAGTGATATGACTCACGTTATGTTATGAACTGTTCTGTCCCTATGAATAGTACTGTAGTGATTCATGCACTTCTGTGAATAATTATTATTAATACTCTATTATACGCAAGACGGCTGTGACAATTTGTAATAAAGCATGGAAGAAATTTATGTGCATCACTGTGTGACAGTATACTTGTGAATCTGGGATTATTCTGTACTGTATATCCGTTTCGATTATATTATGACATGATATGAATGGTTTGGTTTTAAGACCTAATGGTTTCTAGTATAGAACAAAGTGTTGTACGGAACTAAGTGCTACCATGCGAGTCACCTCTAGAATCCGTACGAGCCACCTCTTGAGTTCATACATGCATGAAAAAGGCTTAATGCCGATCCGTTTAAAGACTGACTGCCATTCTGTTTAAGGGCTTAATGCCACTCTGTTCAAGAGCTTAAAACCATTCTGTTTAAGTTGAGGCCTAAGGCTGCTCTGAAAATAATTACAAGATAAAGTTAACTATATGTCCTCTGCCCTTGTACATGTACATTGTAATTCAAGTTAATTGTTAAATTGTTACGTACTGCTATTCACTGAGCTTGGCTCACTTTATGTTATGTCTTTTGTTGTAGGCACTCCACTTGGAGGTCAGTCTCAACCCATGGCATCTGTTCCTCTTATGTCAACCTCAGGGTGTCCAGACACTTAAATGAAGGCAGCTCATTTTATGAAGTTTTGCTAAGCTTTTGATTTGTACGCTAATTGTCTATATTATGTTTTCAATGTTTTTGTTATACGCCCAAGCAAGGGGGCGGTGGTTGTATATGTGTATGTAAATATTCACCATCTGATGCACTGTTTGTGATCCTGGCATGATAGTGGTCGCTCAATGGATGTAGTTTCTTTTTATTTTACGTTATTTTATTATATGTAATGCTTCGGTTCAGGTCCCATATCTTATGTACATTGAGTTAAGTGTCCGTTTCTGAAGTGGCCATGCCCAAACTTTTAGGGGCGGGTTTAGGGGCGTGACATGCTCCTTTCATGATACACCGGATTCTTTGCCAAGGCTATTGTCGATCTATTATCAACAAAAATCTCCGTGGAGTTCTCTTGTGGAAATCTCAAGTACTTCAATAGGTTCCTTAACCATATAGCATGACAAACATTGGCATTATTCGCTACATACTCTGATTCACAAGTAGACAAAGTTACAATTGCTTGCTTTTTAGATGACCAAGTGAATGCAGCATTTCCCAAGTAGAAAGAAAAATCTGAAGTACTCTTTGTTTCATCCAAATCTCTTCTCCAATCACTATTGGAGTATCTAACGAGTGTGAAATCATTAGTCCATGAATAAAGTAAACCATCATTGAGTGTACCTTTGATATAACGGAGAATCCTTTTTGCCGCATTGAGATGTGATTTATTAGGTGCTTCCATGTATCTACTAATCAGCCCAACTCCATAAAGTATGTCTGGTCTAGTGTAAGTAAGGTACCGGAGACTTCCAACCAAACTTTCAAAGTAAGTTGGATAAACATTGCCACCATTGGTACTCTTCCTTAGCTCTAACCCACTCTCTGCCATCGGATTACAAGACTCCATCCGAAATCTTTTGAGTATCTCCTTTGCATAGCCACTTTGAGAAATGAAAATTACATCTTCTCTTTGCACAACTTTAATGCCAAGAAAGTGAGACATCAAACTAATATCTGTCATTTCAAACTCTTGAATCATAATCATCTTGCATTTTTGAACATCTTAGGATTGTTTCCCGTGAAGATCAAATCATCAACATAAAGGCATACGAGTAATACATTTCCATTTGCACCCGTCTTCATATACAAAGCATGCTCATAAGGACATTTATCAAATCCATTCTCATAAAAATACTTGTCAATTTTAGCATTCCATGCGCATGGTGCTTGTTTTAACCCATAAAGGGCTTTTTTCAACTTATACACCTTATCTTCATGCCCAACTTTGACATACCCCAAGGGTTGTTCGACATAAATTTCTTCAAGAAAGTCATTTAAAAATGCTGATTTCACATCAAGTTGATAAATACTCCATTTATGATAGGCGGCAAGAGAAATCATCAATCGAATAGTCTCTAAACAAGCCACGGGAGCAAATATTTCACCATAATCAATTCTGGGTCTTTGCTTGTAGCCTTTGGCAACCAAACTTGCCTTGTATCTTTGCATTTCACCACTTGCATTCCTCTTTGTTTCATAGACCCATTTCACAGCAATTGCTTTGTGGCTTTGTGGTAAGCTAGTGAGCACCCATGTGTCATTTTTCGGAATTTCCTTGATTCCTTCATTCATAGCTTTCTTCCATTTCTCTTCTTGGATGGCTTCTTCACAGCTAAGTGGATCACAATCCATGAAAAAACAAAACAAGTTTAGGTTGTCTTCATCAATTTTAGCAAATTCATAAATCTCTCATAAGCTTCTTGTCTTCCTTGACCTTTCACTTGAACTAGCCTCCGATGACGATGATGATGGTGATGAGGAATCACCTCTAAAGATGAGGGGGACCCATGTGGAGGAGTTTGTGGCTCTTAACTTCGTTTTGATTTTCAATCTCTTCTTCCTCGAGCATAAGTTCAATATCCTTAAGGGCTTCTTTGTGCTTCCAATCCCACATTTCCTCTTCTTCAAAGATGACATCTCTACTCATGATCATTTTCTTAGTGATGGGGTTGTACAACTTGTACCCCATTGTTTTATCACCGTAGCCAACAAAAATGCATTTTTCATCTTTGTCATCAAGTTTTGTTCTTCTAGTTTTCGGAATTTTAGCATATGCAATGCACCCAAATACTCTTAGATGAGCAACACTTGGCTTGAATGAACTCCAAGCCTCTTTCGGTGTCTTCAAGTTAACACTTTTTGTTGGACATCTATCGAACAAGTAAACAGCACATGCAATGGCTTCAGCCCAAAACTCTCTAGACATACATTTCCCTTTCAACATGCTTCTAGCCATATCCAAGATTGTTCTATACTTCCTCCCAGCGACTCCATTCAATTGTTGCGTATATGATGGTGTTACTTGATGCATCATTCCATGCTCGTTGTAATAATTTTCAAAAACATCGGATGTATACTCACCGCCTTGATCGGATCTCAACACCTTGATGTAGTAGCCACTTTGCTTCTCAACTAGTGTCTCGAACTCCTTGAAAACATCAAACACCTCGGACTTCCTCTTTAGAAAGTATACCCATGTCTTTCGGCTATAGTCATCAATAAAAGTGAGGAAGTACCTATTCTTTCCATTTGACATAGGCTTCAAACGTCCACATACATCGGTGTGCACAAGCTCCAAGGGCTTTGATGCTCTCCACCTCACTTGTTTTGCAAAGCTCGTTCTATGATGCTTACAAAGAATGCACCCTTCACAAACTTCATTCGGATTATCAATATATGGCAAAACTACACCATGTTCTTACTTGATAAAAGCTTCAAGCCACCAAAATTGAGATGTCCAAACCTCAAGTGCCATAACCAAGCCTTGTATTTGACAATAGCATTCAAGCATTTTATAGCATCATGTTGAATATTCAAAGAAAACATTATGTTCTTGGACATTTGCACATTAGCAATCAAATTACCACAAACATCTTTAATAGTAAGGTAGAGATTTTTCAAGCTAATATCATAACCCTTCTCTAAAAGTTGGCCCAAACTCAAAATATTATTCTTCATATTCGGAACATAATAAACATCGAAAATAAAATCATGATTTCCATTCTTGAGTTTGATTAGAATTTTACCTTTGCCTTTCACCGAAATTTTGGAGGAGTCACCAAATGTAACATGGCCTTGCACTGCTTGATTAAGTTCAACAAAGATATGCTTCTAGCCGCACATGTGATTGCTAGCCTGGTATCAAGAAACCACACATTGCTTTGATCATTTTCAGACCCATTATAAGCTACCAACAAAGTAGGACCCACTTCATTGCTCTCTTTTTCAACATAGTTCACTTGCTCACCAACTTCATTGCTTGACTTTGCTCTACATTCATAGCTATAGTGCCCAAAGTTGTGACAATTGTAGCATTCCACATTTCTCTTGTCATAGCCATGCCTATTGAATGAACGGTTGTAATTTCCTCCTCCTCTTTCTCTTCCTCTTTCTCTTGGAGCATATAAATTTTTTCCTCTTCTACCTCCAATAGTGTTTCTTCTACCTTTACCTCTACTTGCACGACCTTTACTATGGCTCTCATAGCCTCTTCCATGGCTTTCATAGCCTCTACCATGACCTTCAGAGCCTCTTCCTTTTCCTCTTTGGGATGTGCCTTGCTCTTTTTCTTCCTTGAAAGAAAGCTTAGATTGGAGAGCTTGCTCAAGGGAATTAGAGGCTTTCTTGTTTATCCTTTGCTCATGTATTTCAAGCGTGCCCATTAATTGATCAACTGTCATGGTATTAAGATCCTTCGATTCTTCAATGCCAACAACCGCATGCTCAAATTTGGAACTTAGTGACCGTAGAACCTTCTCTATCATACGTACATCATCAAGATTTTCACCATACCTTCTAATTTGATTTACAATACTCAAAGTTCTTGTAAAGTAATCTGAAATGGACTCATTCTCATTCATATTCAATGACTCAAATTCAGTCCTTAAAAAACTTGAAGCCGTATTCGTAACGTTTTATCAATGCCTCTATGTGAAACCTAATAATTTCCCAAACTTGTTTAGAAGTTGTGGCAGAGGAGACCTTCTCAAAAGTTGACTCATCAATGCATTGGTAGAGTAGAAACTATGGGAGCCGAATAATAGAGGACTCAGATAGGCCGAGTACATATTTACAAAATCAGGATATATATTATATTCGCTCGTCTCTTATGTTCTAGGTGCCGAGTATCCTAATCGGCCATAAAGCCAGTTGAGCGGAGGGCCAAATAGAAGTAGGAATACAACAAATGGAAGGCCGAATGAACAATCACACGACGGATTAAGAGCGGGCCATACCCTAAGGACCAGAGGCGTATATAAATAGAAGAACGGCAAGCAAAAAGAGGTATGTGAGCAAAAACTTAAAAACTTAACTTACAAACAACCAAGAGAGTATACTCTGGCTTATCCGTCGGAGTGCTAATACCGGTACCCCCGACCAAAGTGTTCATTCTTTTTCAGGTGGCTAGCTGAGGATCACGAGCGTCCTGCAGGATCTAAAGAGTATTTCCGAACCACTTCTCCACAATTGACGCCGTCTGTGGGAATACTCAACTACATCCATGGCGGGCGTAACGGAAGATCCTCCGATAGTCGCTGACGAAACCACACCAAGAGATGACCTCACTCAAACAAACATGCTGGGACTGGAGAATATCGCCACAAGACGTGCCTTGAACTTTGACTCAGTTGCCAAGACCTCACCCTTGACTTCAGTACATGAGACAATGCAAGCGATCATGGAATAGGTGAAGCAAAACGAACAGAGGTTGGAAAACATGATCGCTGAGAACGAGCGCCTCCGTCAGGATTTGGCCTTAGAAGTGGCAAAATCCAAACAAGCTGCACGCCAAGATCCGGGACGACCTCTAAGAGAAGATGGTCGACGACCTCGAGTTCGAAGACAAGATAGTGATAGTGATAGTGATAGTGATAGTGATTCTGACTCATTATCCCCAGAACTGAAAAAGAAGGGATGAGTCAAAACCACCCGTTCCTCCGAAGAGAGTCCGCATGCACGCCACAAGCGAAGACGAAATGATTCAGACAAAGAGGACCAGCATAATCCCTTTGTGCGATGGATCGCAAAGGCAGTACTACCCAAAAAGTTTAAAGCCCCATCGTTCACCCTGTACGACGAAAAATCAGACCCCACTGATCACATCTGCCATTATAAGCAAGCTATAACGTTGCATGCAGATGATGAGGCCCTCATGTGCCGAATATTTCCGAGCAGTTTGGAATCATTGGCCGTCAGATGGTATTATAAATTGGAACCGACATCGATTAAGAGCTTCTATCAACTCCAAAAATCCTTTAGGGCAAGGTTCATCACCAATAAGGTCCAGCTGAAGCAGGCCGATTCTCTCTGGGCAATGCAAATCCAACCAGAGGAAACCTTACGAGTGTATTCAGCGCACTATTGGGAATGTTTTAATCTCGTAGATGATGCCTGCAATGATTCCATGGCCATCACTGCCTTTAAAATGGGGTTGCATTCTGATAGTGCCCTCCGCAGTTCCTTGACCAGAAGACCCCCCAAAACAGTCTAGTTGTTAATGAAGAAAGTCGAGGAATATTGCAAAGTTGAAGATGACGCACTACGAGTCAAAGTTGGGCACAAGGCCAGTAAGACGACCCCATTTGAAATCGTTCAGCCGATAAATTTTGTACCGTCATGGAGCCCTAAACCACGGAGTCGGGCTAAACGAGACAAGAGGCAAGATTCGCGCCGATCAAATGACCAATGCTCCCACCGAGCTGATGAACAACTTCAAGTGGATAGCAGGCGCACAAGGCTCGCGGACAAGAAATATACGTAGTTGTCGAAGCCGATCAGCACGATAATGACTAAAATTCAACATCTGATGTTTTTCAAATGGCCGCCCAAGATGGTGGAACCTCCCGACATGAGGAGACGGGATAGGCACTGCGAATATCACAAAGATCACGGTCATGATATCGACAATTGCTATGCTTTGAAAGATCACCTTGAGGAGTTGGTACAAGACGCTCAGCTCTGGCAACACGTCCGAAAGAACAACTCAACCAAAACAGTTGCTCTACGGCAAGATTCACCTCCGCTTGGCGTAATCAATATGATATACAGCTTGCCGACGGCCTCTGCCGTACATACAATTCAGTCGCATCCTAGCCCCCAAAAGTAATTCACTCCTACAAAACGACCCCATGAAGTTGTGAGCATTGCTTTTGATGATTCATATTTGGCCGGCGTAACACTTCCCCACATTGATCCCTTGGTCATCGAGCGACGCGTAAACCGATTTACCGTCGAGCATGCACTCATTGATTAGGGGAGCACTTCAGAAGTTATGTACTACAAGACGTTCGTCGAACTCGGCTTCACCGAGTCGGACCTATCTCCAGCTCCTTATCCATTATTTGGCTCAACGCTAATCCGGAACATCCGTTGGGAAAATCACACTACCAGTTCGGGAGGGCTCTTGGTCAGTGGATGTAGAGTTTTTGGTTGTCAAGCTGCCTTGCTAATGTTATCATGGGAAGAACTTGGCTGCATACCATGCAGGCTGTGCCTAGCACATATCATCAACTACTTCACTTTCTGACTGAACGCGACATCGAGCAAATTCGAGGCTCCCAGAAATCGGCGTAGGTATGTTATCTTCTTGTTGCAAAGACACCAAGAGAGCTGGAAGTGAATTCTATCAAGGTGTCGGATCGAGAAAGCCTCGACGATGTTAGGCGACTCCCAAGTGAAAAGGCAACGGAAGCCTTAGATCTAGTTGAAATTGACTGGAATTCGGACAAGTTCTTCATGGTCGGCGCCGCCCTGAATCAAGCCGACAGGTAGCAGCTAATTTCCTTCTTGCTTGGCAACCTTGATGTATTTGCATGGACACCGTATGAGATGTTGGGTGTGGATCCATTTGTTTCGCAGCTCCGTTTAAATGTTGACCCCAAATGCAAGCCAATTATTCAGAAAAGCCGGCGATCTACCGCAGAACATACCACTACCGTTGTTGAAGAAGCTGACCGGTTGCTTGATGTCGGGGCAGTGGCTGTCGAATACTGTGGTTATAAAGAAGAAGAATGAGACTTGGCGTGTTTGTGTAGATTTCACGAATTTAAACAAAGCCTATCCCAAGGACTGATTTCCTCTTCCCAGAATAGACCAACTCGTAGATGCCACGGCACATCATCAACGAATGAGCTTCTTGGATGCCTACAGAGGCTACCATCAAATTGCCTTGCATCCGGAGGACCAAGATAAAACTGCATTCCTCACCCCAAGAAGAACTTATTGCTACAATGTTATGTCTTTCTGGCTGAAGAATGCGAGGGCAACTTACCAAAGATTAGTCACTGCCTTGTTTAAGGAGCAACTCGGCCATACTATGGAAGTCTACATTGATGATATGGTGGTCAAGTCCAAAGAAGAGAAAACTCATCTGGCCGACTTGGAAGAAACATTCGGCATTCTACGCAAGTACAAAATGAAGTTGAACGCTTCCAAGTGTGTTTTTGGGATCGGATCCGACAAATTCCTTGGCTACATTGTTAACCACCGCGGAATCGAAGCCAACCCGAGGCAAATGGGGATGGCCGCCGCAATCAACAGGTTCATTAGTCATTCCACAGATCGCTGCTGACAATTCTTTCATACCCTCCGTAGGGTAAAGCTTTTGAATGGACCTCCGAGTACAAAACTGCTCTGAACAGTTTGAAGACCTACGTCCGATCAGTCCCACTTTTGACAACACCTTCGGCAGGTGATCCGTTCGTTTTATATCTGGCAGTTTCTGACCGGGCCGTCAGTGCCGTACTGATAAAGGAAGAACTTGGGGAGCAGTGGCCGGTCTGTTATGTGAGCAAAGCAATGGTTGATGCTAAAACACGTTACCTTTCGTTGGAGAAACTTATCCTTGCACTCGTCATGGCAGCAAGAAAACTGATGCATTACTTTCAGGGGCATACCATTGGGGTACTAACGGACTATCCCCTCCGGTCATTACTTCATAGTGCGGAAGCATCGGGGTACGTCTCAAAGTGTGCTCTCGAGCTCTGCCAATATGATATTCAATTTCTGCTTAAAACTTCAATCAAGGGTCAAGTGCTCGCCAACTTTGTGGCCAAATTCACTAGATGCCTTGCCGACTTTAAGTCTGACCAAATTCAACCTAACCTGAACTGGAGAATTTACGTGGGGGACATTTGGCAGTTGTATTGTGATGGATCATCCAACCAACGGGGCAGTGGGGCCGGAGTAGTGATCATGGCTCCCGACGGAGCAATAATCGAGCAGGTTGTCAAACTCAACTTCGAAGCATCGAACAATAAGGCCGAATACGAAGCCTTCCTAACCAGCTTACAGAATGCACATCTCTTGGGTGCTCGGCATTTGCTTATATTTTGCGATTCAAAACTGGTGATCAATTAGCTAAAGGGGGAGTACGCGGCAAAAAACGACCGTATGACAGCTTACATGAAAACAGAAAATTCCTTGCTGGCAAAATTTGACCATCATGAATCGAACTAAATAACCTGTGATCAGAACACACATGCAGATGCCCTGGCTTGCCTAGCCTCCACCATTAACTCGGAGATTAAACGGACAATTGAAGTGGGTTTCATCCTTAAGCCAAGCATTGGCCCTTCAAAGGAAGTCCACATCAATGTCATAGAGTCAGGTCCTAGTTACATGGACTCCATTGTTGCATTCCTATCTTCTGAACAGCTTCCGGCGGATAAGAAAGAAACGCACAAGTTGCGAAACAAAGCCCTGCGGTACTATTTGGATCCGCAAAGAAAGCTTTACAAAAAATCCCTTTCTGGTCCATACCTAGAATGTGTTCATTCGGATAAAGTCGAGGAACTCCTGACTGAAATACATGAAGGTAGCTGTGGTGCCTATTCTAGTGGGCGCTCTTTGGCTTATCGAG